ATTTCCGCCTTCCTTTTCAAAGGATTAAACCAAGATTGAACATCGAATCAAATCGCGGATTTTACGCCTGCGCGTAAATAACGTAACTCCGCACGTAACACTGCTCTATGAATACATTCAATTCAAATGGGATATTGTTCAAAATCAAATGAATTAATACTTTTAAATATATTAAAAATATAGTATTATTGTTAATATATAACATTTATTTATTTATCTTTTTTTTTAATATTTCCTTTTGTTTCATTTTACCAACCCAACATAACCTTGGAGTGCGGAATTCTAGGTAGGCAGATTTCCCAAAAGTCCCTAAGCAAAAAAAAATATATATATATTCTTAAATACATTATTATTAATATATTATTATTTAAAATATATTATGTGAAATATATTTATTAATGTATGCAACTACATATTCTGCAATGCAGGATTAAAGAAAATTCAATTTTTAATGTTTAAAATGAAATAATTTATTATTATCTTTATTTAGTTAAGCTTATAAAGAAAAGACAGATTTCATTAAATTATTATTAAGCATTAATTTAATTACTTTAAAAAATAAAATCCTCAGTATTGCAATTTCTTTCAATATAATTTTAGTAAAATATCCTAAAAGAATTGAATTCTTTTATTTTAATAAAATCCTCTTCAGAAATTAAATTATTTTTAATACCATTTCAATAAAATTTCTCAAAAAAACTAAATTACTTTCATAAATTAGAAAATTTTTTTATTTTTAATAGGTACCTATTCTGTATTTGAATTAAATTATTTTTGAAAATTTTAATATAAAATTCTTCAAAAAAATTCAATTATTTTAAATACTCTCAAAAAAATTCAATTATTCTTGAAAATTTTTATCAAATATGTATCAGAATTTAATTATTTCCAGAATTACAGAATTTTTGGAAGTTTTTTTGGAAAACTTTTAACTAAAATTCAATTATTTTAAATTTTTCGAAAGAATTCAATTACTTTCGAAAATAAAATTGTTTGTAAAAATTAAATTATTTTCAATACATTTTTTAATAAATTTCTTAAAAGAATTCAATTACTTTCGAAAATAAAATTTAAACAGTTATTCAATTTTTTCAATACAATTTTAATAAAATTTTAAAAAAAATGTATTGTTTTTATATTGTTAATAACATTTTTCCAAAGAATTCAATTATTTTCAAAAATATATCATTTTTGAGTGAGTTTTTCACAAATTACTTGTAAACTTTTGACAACCAAATTGGCACGATAAATGGCTTTTGACATTCCTTCTTTCCCAGTCGGGACTGAAAACATGTGGAATTTTTCCTGTTTTCATGTAATGTTCACAAAAAGATTATACCTAAATCACAATTAAAGAATTAATTTCTTCTCTAATACTACATTGCATAATATGTAGTTGCATACATTAATAAATATATTGTAAATAATTCAGGAATAATGTACTACTCTACTATATTACGCGATTTCTATTTTTTGGACAATATTTCATGTAATAATATATTTTAAATAATAATATATTAATAATAATGTATTTAAGAATATATTAATAATAATACTATATTTTTAATATATTTAAAAGTATTAATTCATTTGATTTTAAACAATATCCCATTTGAATTAAATGTATTCATAGAGCAGGACGCGAGCCGCGCCATCTGTTGCTGTTCGCGGGAACTACGCAAACTATAATCACTAAGCATACCTGAGTCTCTAATGCTAAATCCTGGAAGTACTATAGGGGTGACGTCGGTAGAAGCGCGTTGGTCACGTGACCTCCATATGGAATACATAAGGCCAACGCAGAATAGATCTGTAACCGGAACCGCAATCGTAAGCGTAACCGTAAGAATGAGTTAGAGAAGGATAGTTATATTGTTTATCCTTCTCTAACTCATTCTTACGCTTACGGTTACGATTGCGGTTCCGGGTACAGATCTATTCTGCGTTGGCCTTAAATGCCGATTCGATGTTTTTAGCATTCGACGTTTTGTCCATTCGATTACTTGGCATTCGACTATTTGATCATTCGACGACTTGGCGATTAGGGGATATGCATGCGTCTCGAAAAGGCCTTTCTCCAATAGGTTTTAAAGGCGGTTCCAGAATAGGTGCAAAAGGCAAGAAGTGCAAGTGCGAACCAATGCTAAATGTATAGGAATCGCACTTGCACTTGGACTTGCTACCTGCCTTTGCACCTATTCTGGAACCGCCTTAAAAAGTATGCGAATGACTGCGTCTGCGTCGGTTGCTATAGCAACACATGCTAAAATCAACGCAATGCAGTCATTCGCACACTTTTTAAGGCTGGAGTGCCATGACAGCGTTTTGCGTTGCGTTTTGTAACTAGGCAATGAGTGCAAATATAGCAAACATATATTTTCATCTCTCTCACACTCATGGCCTAGTTACAAAACGCAACGCAATACGCTGCCATGGGACTCCACCCTAAAACCTATTGGAGAAAGGCCTAAAAAGACCTGCATCCCGTAGAACCACTGATCTCTATATACCTCTGGATTGGAAATGCTGTGAGCAGAACTTTTACCACGGCGGCCATCTTTCATTGTAGTAAAAGTACAAAATTATGGCGCGAAAGCCTTGTTTCATATTACAAAGTAAATTTCTTTTTTATTGTAAGTAGATGTATGAATAAACAACTCATGTATAGAATATAAAATGTTAAAATTGATAATTATTATTATCATTATTATTATTACTTAAAATACAAGGCTTTCGCGCCATAATTTTGTACTTTTACTACAATGAAAGATGGCCGCCGTGGTAAAAGTTCCATAGAGATAATATAAATAGAGTGGGGATGGTTTGCATGTATGCGTCTGCTTGATAGAAAGAGAAAGAAGATTTAGCACCAGTAGGTGTCTCTCTTGCACTGGAGCTCAGTGAAGGACAGATACTGGTGTTAAATCTTCTTTCTCCCTCCAACCCATTCTGTTTATAGCAGGACACTTCCCCCACACGCTGCCGCCTATACCTTCCCCACTCTATTGGGAACCGCAGAGCTGCGTAGGCCCTCTGGTGTCGACCCACTTGCGGTAGTTGTCTTTTCATTTCGTCTCTCTCTAACATATGTAAAAAAAAGAGATAAAAAACCAAGATGTCGGACGCAAGTGGGTACAGGGGTGGGTCAGTTTTACATGATTTCGGATCCCAATTTATAATATCTCTACACTGTAAAAAAATCTGGTGTAAAATAACACGAAACTTGTAATTTCACACATCAAAATTATAGGTTGTACGTAGTAAATTTATTTCGTTCCAAAAGTAGTTTTACTATTTTTAATAATTTTACATTATACGACTATGTAATTTAATAGTTTTGTGTAAATTTACTACGTCCGACGTAGGAAAATTTGATCACTATGTCCGACGTGGTATTTTTACATTGCGTGTATTTCTACACTTTGACGTAATATTACGTCGCACGATCTGTACAATTACATGGCGAATGTAATTTTCTTATTCCTTTAAGATTTTCAAAAAATTTTCAAGTTTTTATAAATAACTCTAAAAAAGTGTATATAATGTACATTTATAGAAAGTATATGCTAATTTATAAGTAAATAATAATATAACAAAAAGTTTTGGGCTATATTTCATAAATACAAAAAGTTACGACTGAAAATATTATTTCAAAAAATATTTGCAGGTTATGTAGATTACAGTCGGCGTGTAAAAATACCACGTCGGACATAGTGACCAAACTTTCCAACGTCGGACATAGTAAATTTACAGCAGATTTTTTTACAGTGTATGAAAAGTTCTGCTCATAGCATTTCCAATCCAGAGGTATATAGAGATCAGTGCGTAGAACCCCTGTTGTTTCTAAAGTTGGCGCTTTTTTTTGCACCAAAAATGGATAATCGATACTAGCGCCAAGACTTGGTGGACAATTTGAAAACTTGAATTTGCATTGAAATGGGATTCATTGATGTAATATCCCCCACCATTGTGAGTTTTCAATGTTTTCATATTCAGTGTAGGTTTAGGTTCATTCTACGGGTAGAAGCATGATCCAAGTAACAAGGTCTCGCCACGCGCAGGCAAAAAAAACGTGGAACCAAGCACCAATCAGAATGCGGACGAAGTGACGACCATATTGAAAGTCTAGCCGCGTATTTTTAAATGTGTTTCAAATCCAGAAAATAAGATTGTTATTGTTATTAATATATTTTTATTTTTAATAATAAATATTATTAATTGTTATTATTAATATTAATACGTATAAAATTATTGATAATAATAATAATAAATATTACAATAAATGGTAATTAATATTAATAAATTATTATGAATGTTATTTTATTTTAATAATAATTATTATTTTTAATTAGTATTAATATTAATAAATATAAAGTTATTAATAATAATAATAAATATTGCAATAAATAGTAATTTGATTTTCAAGATTCCAAGCAACATTCACTGGCTCTTCCAGGTTTCTTTCAGATTTATAATATTCCCTAAATTTTTAAGGTTTTCCAGGTGAAAATAGAGTGAAAATACTCTGATTCACCTAGAAACGTGGCCAACTAATCACCTTTTAATGATTTAAATTCTGTACCGAAGTGAATCTGTGCCACGCAGCAGTTTAGTCCTTACTGGAGTTTCGTCTCAGTATATATATTGAAAGTTAAAAGTGATATGCATAATAATAATATGTGACTGTATATTTGTGACTGCATAATTCTTTTAGTTTAATTTTTTATTAAAGAGAGAAAATATAAACACATACAAAAAATAAAAAAAGGTTGTCTTAGTTAATCTGGCTCAAAATTTATCTCATCATTTATCCACTGAAAATTGAAAAGAAATTGTCCCTTCAGTTCTTGCAGCATTAGAGATAAATGTAATGTTTTTAAATATATAAATAAATATATGTGAATGTTATGTATCAAGTTAATAATAAGTATTTAATAAAAAATATTAATATTTAATAAAGAATTATTTTACTTTTAATTTATTATTCTTTATGTTCTTTAAATTTGTTTCTGTATTTGATTCAAAATTTAGCGCTTCAATATGGTCGTCGCTTCAGGTAATCGCTATGATTGGTCGGCTTTTTTATGGTGCGCGAACCGAGTTAAAATTGAGCCCGACTTTGGCGAGACCTTGTTACTTGGATCATGGGTAGAAGGTCGCGGGTATTTGTTGGTGACGCGAGGAACAGTAAATATGGCTGCTGGTTTTTGTGGTACGAAGAAGCAAAAGCTGAACAATTCCTCCAGCATTCATTGTGATGGATCAGCTGTGATACAAAATGGAACAATACGAAATTCGCTAATTGTACATCCCGAAATGGGCTTCTTCTGCTTCGACGTACTCTATTGCCAGCTGCATCAGCTTGACCCTCCAAAATCGCCCAACTTTTGTAATGATGCATTGTATGTATACATTATCCCCACCAATTTCTTAATAATATTCTTTTCCTTCTCTTTCGCACTCAAGTCAATTACGATACAATATCCTTCTCTCTTTGTCTCACGCACTTATCGCTTTGTTTAGATTTCTTGTCTTTATTTACAAACAAATTCATCAATAATAATAATTCATGCTATTTACAAAACCTTTTTATTTCTTATTTTTTGCGAAATTATCTTTTAAATAAGATTTATTTTGATTCTATGGTTAATACATTTTCTTTGTTGTCCCTCTTGACAAAGAAACGGGCGAAGCTTTCTTTTACATAACTTTCGTTTTTATGTAATATAAATAGAAAATTAGAGGGTTGTGAATTTTCATATTTTAACTATATATTGAATAATAATTTGGATATTTTTTTTAATCGATGATTTGAATTTTTGCAGTCCTTTATTTGTGACATGGAGTATTGGAAAAGATAAACGACTTAGAGGTTGTATAGGAACATTTAATGCAATGCAATTGCATGCTGGACTTCGAGAATACGCGGCAACAAGGTAATTTAAATTTTCTGTTAATTCAATATTTTATTAATTCAATTTAAAAAAAAAATTCTTGCAGCGCTTTTAAGGATTCTCGATTTAATCCGATTTCACGAGACGAAATGCCCAGTTTACATGTCAGCATTTCAATTCTTCGTCATTTTGAAGATGCTATGGATTATTTAGATTGGGAAATTGGTCTCCATGGGATTCGTATCGAATTCCATGATGAGAGAGGAAGCAAACGGACTGCAACATTTTTACCTGAAGTTGCTAAAGAACAAGGTAAAGATCATAATTTCCTTTTTCTTTAAATACTTCCACACTACCATATGACTTATTTCGAATTTTTACGACAAGTTTCGAAAAAGACAACTTTTTTAAAATTAATTTACAAAAAATGCGACTTCCTAGAGTTTTTTTTTCTAAATATTGCAAAAAAATACTTTTTCAGAGTTGCCACAGGTCAGGGAAATCAGGGAAAAGTCAGGGATTTTTATTTAAGTAACTGGAAAAAATTGAATTTTGGAGAAGTAACAAATCATTGCAGAAATTCAATTATTTTCAAAAGTAATAAAATTCTTCGCAAAAATTTAAATATGTTCAAAAATTAAAAAAATTCTCGTCAAAATTCAATTATCTTTAAAAATAATAAAATTCTTCTCCAAATTTCAATTATTTTCAAAAATTTTAATAAAATTCTTTGCAAAATTTCAATTATTTTCAAAAAAATTTTCTCAATTCAATGGTTTTCAATATCTACTGTTTTAATAAACTTTTTCAAAAGAATTCAATTTATTTAAAAAAAATTTTTTGACAAAATTCTAAGCAAACTTTGCAGTAATTCAATTATTTTCATAAATAAATAACATTTTTTACAAAAATTCAATTATTTTCATGAATAATAAAATTCATCATAGAATTTTAATTATTTTTAATACAATTTTAATTGAATTCCTCGAAAAATTTAATTATTCTTGAAAATTTTATTAAAATTTCTCGAAAAAATTCAAATTTGTTCATAAAATTCTTTATGATAATTTAGTTCCGAGAAACTTTCATTTATTCAATAAATTATTCATTTTTATATTTAAATAATTGAATTCTAGTAGAATTTCCAATAAAAATTGGTTTAAAAATGAATATTAGTTAAAATTTTAGATAATAATTGAATATTAAAAGCATTATAGCATGAATTTTTAAAAATACATAATTGATAATTGAATTCTTTCGAAGAATTTTGACAAAATTTTTGAAAATAGTTCCATTTTTCGAAGAATTTACTTAAATAATTGAAATCCTGTGAAGAATTTTATTAATTTGTGAAAGTAATTGAATTCTTGCAATGAATTAAAAAATTTTTTTTTAAATAATTGAAATAATGTAAAGAGTCTTATTATTTATGAAAATAATTGAATTCCTGCATCGAATTTTATTACATTTTTTTAAATAATTGAATTCTTTTGAGAACTTTTATTAAAAAAGTAAATTGTGAAAATATTTGAATTTCAACGAAGAATTTCATTATATTCGTGAAATGTAATTAAATTCTTACAAAAAATTTAAGCGAATAATTCTATTTTTTTAAGAATTTACTTTAAATTGTATTATAAATAATTGAAATCCTCAGAAAAATTTTATAATTTATGAAAATAATGGAATTCTTATAACGAATTTTATCAATTTTTTTTAAATAATTGAATTCATGTGAGAAATTTTATTACTTGTATATATATATATATTTATTTATTGTACTCTCCCTGCTTCAATCATGTAGGGTTCGAGGATCCTTTTTACATTAATTTCTTAACCTAACTTAACCTATTACATCGTCGATATTCTGCTTACTTAAATCTATCATCTTACTATTAACTAATCTTATCTATCTATATTAATCTATATCGACCAGTGCCAGGGCTTCCGTCTCCTGTTCCTTTATACCCTTTATGGCTTCGTCAATACTTTAACTTTAATTATTTAAAATTACTCAATTTCCTTTTTGCTTCTAATTCCCTCATCCATTCCTCCCCTTGTCCAGATTCATCCAAAATCCATCTCACTCTTTCATCCATTCCCATACACTCTTCTTCTTTCCTTTTGCATCTGTCTAACACATGTCCCCAATCTTCCAGTTCAAATCCACACACTCTACACAGTTTCTCCTCTTCATTCATCCAATATCTACATTCACTCATACCCTCACCCATTCTAAACCTTATTACACTTTTCCATTTACTCTCTTTCCAACTTCTCCTCAGGTACTTCGGAATGCCCACTCCCTTTACCATCCGATACCACCTGTTGTACCTTGACTTCCCGATTTTCTCCCACCTCTCCTCCTTATCCCTTTTTTCCACCTTAATTCCATTACCCCCTCTACCCCTATTCCATTTTGACCCTTATCTTTTCTCACTTTTCTTCTCATTTTCTCCCATCTCGTCATTTCCTTTGCACCCCTTGCCTCCCTTTCCTCTATTTTCTCTAAACACATTTTTGACAAATCACTTCCTCCTCCCTGTCTCAACTTCTCTTCAAACCTCCATGCTCTCTTTCTCTGTCTTACAACCATTTTCTCTCTCTCTAACTCCTCTCTCAACATATACCCCAGACAATACATACTCACCCCCATCACCCATCTCAACAATCTTTCATGCATGCTTTCCACTTTCTTTTATTCCTTCCATTCCCACACTTCCGCTCCATAACTCACTATTGACCAAATCAGTACATCAAACAACCACACTCTCCTTTTCCAATTATCCTTAAACCTTCTTTCTCCTATTCCCCATACTTGCCCCATCACTCTACTCGCTCTTTCCACCCTTCTTTTAACATTCAATTCATGCGTTCCATTCCATTCAAACCAAAAACCCAAATAACAAAACTCATCTACCTCTTCTACTTCCCTTTTATTCATTTTCCAATCATACTTTTTCCCCCCTCTCCTCTTTCTAAATCTAACTACTTTCGTTTTTTCCACATTCACACACAAATCTTTCTCTCTTGCATACTTTCCAAACTCATCCATCAATAGCCTCATAGCCGCTTCGTCATCCGCCATCAGTACCACGTCATCAGCATAAGCCAATGAGTACACCCTTCCTGCCCCCAAAACTACTCCTCCTTTTTTTCTCCTTTTCAGTTTCTCCTCTAAATCCGCTATTAGTAGCGTAAACAGCAGAGGACTCAACGGGCAACCCTGCATTAGGCCTCTGCCTAACCAAAATTCTCTTCCAACTTTTCCTCCCACATTTACTCTAGATCTTGCGTCCGTGTAGAGTTCTTTAACCCGTTCTATTATCCCCTCTTCTATCCCCCTACCCTTCACTCTCCATAGCAACCCCCTGTTCACCGATGGAAATGCAGCTTTGAAATCCACGAAGAGTGCTATCAACTTTCCCCTTTTTTCACCCAGGTTCTTGTTTACCCCCTGTTTTTTCCACTTCCTTTTCCAACCTCCCTCTCAACACTTCCGCATACACCTTATACCCTGTCGGCATTAAGGTGATTCCCCTATTCTCTTCCACCTTTTTTCCATCCCCCTTTTTGACCAAAGGAACGATCAGCCCCGTCTTCCAATCTTCAGGCCACCCTTCTCCTCTCCAAACTCTCCTCACAATTTCCCATACTTCTTTCCTTGTCCTTTCCCCTCCATATTTTAATGCTTCTCCTTCCACTTCATCCTGGCCAGCAGCTTTTCCTCTCTTTATGCGGTCAATCGCCTTCTCTACTTCCTCCCTGCTTATCTCCTCTACATCATTTTCCTTTATTATCTTTCTCCCTTCTCCTCTGATCCTATTATCTACCCCGCCTCCCAATCTCTTAAAATACTCTGTCCACTCTTTCATTTCTATCTCTGTATTTATTTCTTTCCTATTGCCTCTTTCTCTATTGATTATTTCCCACTCGCGTCCTTCCCTTACTGCGTGCTCTACCTCCCTTCTGTATCTCTCCTTTTCCTCTTCTCTTTTCCTCCTTAAAAGTTTCTCATGTTCCTTATGAAATTTGTTATACTCCTTCTTTTCCAACTCTCCTTTTCTCCACCCCTTTATATAAATTCTCATTAAATCTCTGCTCTTCTCACATTCCTCGTCCCACCATCCTTTATGCTTTCCTTTCTCTTCTTTCATCTGCTCTAATTCCAATCTCACCTTTTCTATCCTTCTCTTTAACTTTTCTATCCGCATATTCACATCCTCGACTTCTTCCTCTGTCTCTTCCTCTTCCTGCATCCTCCTCTCGAACTCCTCTCGAACCTGCTTACCTTCCATTTTCGCATCCTAATCCTCTGTTGCCCTCCTTGCCGCTCCAACACTCTCTCTTTTACTTCTCCTCCTTGCCCTTCTATTTCTACTATTATTGGAAAGTGCTCTGAACCTGTCTCACACCCCACCGTCATTCTTTTTAACTTCCTCTTCGTTCTTTTACCCGCTAACAGGTAGTCAATTACCGTTTCCCGCTAAACGTAAATTCCCCCTTTAATCCCCTTGTATTATTATTGCATATCACACATCCCCGTTCCTCTATTAAATTTACTAGTTTTCTTCCGTCCTTATCCACATCTTTATGTTTGGATGTTCTCTCAAATTTCTCCTCTTCTTCATTCCAATCACCTCCACCCAATTCTCCTGTCCACGCATTGAAGTCTCCTCCTATCAAAACCAGTTCGTCTTTCCCTTCCTCGCCCCTTCTTCTGTACACTCCTACTAAATTCCATCTCTCTCTCCCTACCCTTATGCTTCTTGCCACGCATCCTTCTTTATCCTTCAAGATTGTACCTTCTTCCTTAATACCCACCCTGACTCCAGACACCATTCCTCCTACGTTTCTACCTTTCTTATGCTCCCTCGTGGCCGACTGCATTCTCCATCTATAACCGATTTCGGTAGTTTCCTTTTCACTTTCACCCAATCTTTTTTATCCACCCAAGTTTCACAAAGAAATACCACATCCCATCCCTTTATTTCCTTCGAGAATCCCTCGTCTTTATTCTTCAATCCCGCTACGTTCCAATATGCTACTTTTATTCTTCTATAATCCCCCCCTCCACCTCTTAGTCCCCTATTTACTGTTCTTCTCCATTTATCTCCGTTCTTCTCTCCAAACCCCGTTTCCTTATTTATCTTGCCCTTCTCTCCTTCTTCTATCACTTCCCCTGATTCCTCCTGGACTATCCATTTAACCCCTTCTACCCATATTCCCTCTCTGCCCCAAACTACCTTTTTTCCATTGCCCCTTTCCTCCCATAATTGAGCCTCCGGAAAGTATAACCACACATAAAATTC